TGAAGAGCTGTAAATTTGCTTTCCTAAAGTGCAGGGGCCTAACTTTCCTCCTTATGTGACCCTTGTCCCTCAGGACTACAAACTCCACCAGTGCATGATTACTGCAGCCCAGTGAGCCTCCAGTCATGACATCCCCAATTAGTTCGCTTACATTGGTGACCGTCAGATCCAGTATCGGATCCCCTCTGGGAGGGTTGTCTATTACCTGGCTCAAGAAGTTATCCTCCATGCATTCCAGGAGTCTCTTGGATTGCCTACAGCTCTCTGTGCTCATTTCCCAGCAGATGTCAGGGTGAAGTCTCTCAGTAGGACAAGAGCCTGCAAGTGCAATGCCTCCTGTAGCTGAAGCAAGAAGACTTCATCACTAGCCTCCCTTTGAAGACGTGGCCTTTAGTAGTTTAGTGGGTTGACCTTGGCTGGAAGCCAAGTGCCCACCAAGCTGCTCTATTACTCCCCAGTGGGACAGGGGAGAGAAAATAAGATAGAAAACAACTTGTAGGTTGAGATAAGGCAGTTTACTAAAGCAAAAGAAGTGAAAATTTGCGCACACATAAGCAAAGGGAAAAAAAAGTTTATTCTCTATTTCCCATTAGCGAGCAATATTCAGACACTTCCTAGGAAACAGGGCTTCAGCATGTGTAATGGTTGCTCTGGAATGTAAATGTTGTAGAATAACGAATAAACGAATACCCCCCAGTTCCTCCTCTCTCCCTTAGCTTTTATATCTGAGCTGACATCATATGGTACGGAATACCCTTTGGTCAGTTTGGGTCAGCTGGTCTAGTTGTGTCCCTACCCAGGATTTTGCCTACCCCCAGCCCCTTGATGGGGAGAGAATGCTGAGAGACAGTGCTGATGCTGTGCCAGTGCTGCTCAGCAGTAGCCAAAACCACTGGTGTATTATCAACACCTTTACAGCTCTTAATGCAAAGCACAGCTTGTGAGGGCTGCTAGGGGGAAGTGAGCTCCAGCTCAGCAGGACTCAATACAATCTCTACCCATTATTCCATAGCATTTGCATAATTCTTAGAACTCACATAATTTTATATATATACATTTATGGTCTAGCTGATCCTTTGTATTTATTTATCATTACTGGAATCCCTTCTTACCTACACATACAACTTAAACTACATCCTTAAACCATCTCTGTATCCAACACAGAGGTTTGTACATTTTCATTAACTACTATCCCCTGTCCTTTCACAGATAGATATTATTTTCCTTTTTCATGGGCTTCTTCCACCCCTCCAGATCCATGACTTGGGCTCCAGTCCATCAGGATGGGTGGTCAGGACAGGAGAAGCACCACAATTGATCATTGGGCACTGGCCCGGTTTGGGTTGTTATCACATTCTCCTTGCTCCTCACAAAATTAATTCTTCATCAGTTCATGTCATCCCTGCTACTTTACTTCCTGCAGCATAAAACTCACACAGATTATTTTCCCCCCAAGGTTAAATTGCTTTGAGGCACACCAGGTCTCCCCATCCTTCTGCATTACCCAGCAAATTACGCCTTGGTCCTTGGGCAAAGACAATCCCACAAATGGGTTTGCCATTTGTCATGGGAGTAGAAATCCACACCAACTTCCCCAGCCACTTCCATATGCATAGTATGGGGACCTTATCTTCTCCCAGTGTGTAGGGGTTTTGTTTGGGCAGGACCAGGGCAGTTAGCAGATCCCCTAGTGTTGACCAGCCAAGTGGCTTCTGCTAAATTTGTATCCCAGTGCTTCCACGCCCCATTACGTAATGCTCTTAACATAGTCTTCAACAATCCATTATACCTCTCAATCTTTCCAGAGGCTTGTGGGTGATAAGGGATGGGATATATCCACTCAATACCATGTTTCTTTGCCTAAGAGTTTATAAAGTTATTTTGAAAATGAGTCCCATTGTCTGATTCGATTCTCTCTAGGGTACCATGTCACCAAAAATTATGTTTCTCAAGGCCTAAGATAGTGTTTTGAGCAGTGGCATGGTTTACAGGGTGTTTCCAGCCAGGCAGTTGTTGCCTCTACCATGGTATGTAGCTCTTGCCTTGGAGTGTTCGTGGTAGTGGTCCAATGTAGTCAATTTGCCAGGCCTCACTATATCAGAAACCCAGCCATCACCCTCTATTCCAAGGATAATTTACAGAATCACAAATCAATAAGTTGGAAAAGACCTTTGAGATCATCGGGTCTAACGTATGACCTAACACCACCTTGTCAACTAGACCATGGGACTAAGTGCCGTATCCAGTCTTTTCTTAAACATCTCCAGGGATGGTGACTGCCACCTCCCTGGGCAGCCCATTACAATGCCCAATCTATCTCAACCCTTTGTGCTGCACATTGGGCACCAAATAAGGCTGTCATGGCTTAGGAATGGTATTCCCCAATTAAGTTCTCGCACTGAGACTTTCCAAACCACACTGCTGCTGGCTTCCTCTCCCCTCTTCCCCCCTTCCCCCTGCAGGTGGCCAGAGAGGAGAATTAGAGGCACAAAAGTCAAAGGTCACAGGTTGAGATATGAACAATTTACCAGAAAAAACAATGAGATAAAAAACTGAAAAGTAACAGCAACAATGTTAATAATTAAAGTATGCAAAAAGGGAATGATTCACATGCAAAAATGTTCACCATAGACCCTGAGACAATGAACAATGGCTGACTGGTTCCCCATCCCACCATGCTTTGTTCTATTTGAAAGGGATGCCCTTCTCAAAAGTTGAGAGTCCCTTTTGCCTACCTCTAGCAATGATGTAAGGTGGTAATGAATAACAGAATGTCTTGGCCACACCCCCCTCATGCTGATCTTGGCTGGAACCTGCTTTGATTTCTATATATGTTGAGTAGCTCCCAGTGGTAAAGGATCCTGTATGTAGCCTAAGGAGGAACCTACCCTGGAGGATGATTGTCTAAAGCTTTTTGATGTTCCCACTAATAGTAGAGGCTCACATTCCTACTCTGATTTGTAGGCTTTTTTCTCTTCCACTGCAAAAAGATCTTATTAAGATGCAAGTCTGGTCATGTTAATGGAAAGAAAACCTATGTCAGTTGTCAGTTTTTCTTAGGTATGGATCCATGGCCTGCATCTCTTCCTGCTTTTTCCTGTTCTGTCTCTCAACCTTCCTTTCTGGTTCTTGTTTTCCATATTTAACCTTCTTTTTCTCAAGTGCACTTGGTTTCCTGATAAAATTTGACAGATGTAATTATTGTGTCATAATTTCTGAATAGTAACTTTTGAAGCTCTAATCAATTTCAACCAAATTTGATAGGGGTCCAAAAGTCAAAGATCGTTGAATTTCTACAGCCTGCCTGGCAAGGCAGCAGTCAAGGTAATGAGACCCAAATTAGCACTTCCTTGTTTTGCTGGACCTCACCTTTCATCTGTTCCATCTGTGCAAGCATCACTACAGAGAACTCTCCTGCTCATATGGTTGTGAGACATAAGCATAATTTTTAATGGCCTGAGTCTGGCTAACCTAGATTCTTTGCTTGACACTTTTCTGTACTAGAGGGACTGCTCACAAAAATTTCATATAAACCTTTGTGCCCATCCTTTCTTACTAACTGGTAAGCCTTTACTCACCCAGGAGACTTCTTAGCACCTAGAGATACTTGTCTCCGGGACACTTCTTAGTGCATGAGACTGGACAGCTGACTGTAACTTAAATATGGATTTAATTGAAAGCATTGGTGAGGTGAGATTAGGAACCGCACAACATTACCAGGGCCACACTTAGGAACCACTAATGTTTCCTGTCCTCGGTGCCTCTGAACAATTGTTAAGGCTGTGATGTGCAGCATGTGTGTGACACTCATATTGAGTACTGTGCCACAGGAGAGCAAGCAGAAAGTTTTCACTGAAAGGGGAATGTTAGCAGGATGATTACAAACACAATGACTAAAAATAAGATTGTAAAAGAATAAGTAATTACTGGTTTTGATTTTCATATTTTAGACCAGTTTTAATCAGTGTATGTTCTTATTTTGCCCAGTAGCATATGTATGAGATATATATACATATATAATACGTACAGAACACAAATGTATTTTAAATGTATTTTAAATCCCTCCAGGGATGGTGATTCTACCACATCCCTGGGCAGCCTGTTCCAATACTTGTCAACACTTTCTGTGAAGTTTTTTTTCCTAAAACCATTGTAGGTCCCTTCCAACTGAACTATTCTATTCTATATACACAAAATTTGCTAATTTTGACCTGAAATTTCCTCTGATATATTTTGACGCTAAGGATAAGATACACTAGGTATTCAAAGTATTTTCTTTCCCCCCTTCTTGTGTAGTTGGTCTTATTCCCTCTTTACACGAGACATTGAGAATTTATGAAATCTTTCCATCATTAAACTAAATCATGTGGAAGTAACACAGACAGCAAAGCAGGTACCACGTTCTTAATTCTTCGGTCTGCATTCGCATTTCCACTTCGTCGTGGGCTGCAGCCTCCTAGGTCTCTGACAGGTATTGCGGGTGCGTGGCGGCAGCTGTCCCGAGGAGGCCGGGCGGAGGCTCTGCTTCACCCTTTGCTTGTTGGGGCTTCCGGAACGTTCTCTCTGGTTTTGGGTGGTGGTGGGGAAGGGCTGTGGATAAGATACCCCGTTTTCCCCCGCCCAGAATTGAGGGGCTCGCCTTTTGTCGCCCCCAGGCCCCTGACTGTGTGGAACGCACAGGGGAAAGGCTGACGGCGGCGCTGGCGGGCGGGGCGTGCGTGGCGCTAGGACCCAGGAGGACGCAAGGCAGCTCTTAGAGCGAGATTGCAAATTCGCCGTGACTCAGTCCGTGTACTGGAGCAGGTTAGTGCTGTCCTGTGGGGCCGGGCTCGGGCGAGAGCAGGCCGGGCATCATGCCGCCAGCCAGCCAGCTAGCTAGCGTGCTTGCTTGCTTCTCCCCTACCTTCTTTCCTTCCCCCCTTCCTTCCTTCCTTCCTTCCTGGGGCCTGCCGCTCCGCTAATCGCGCCCTCTTGTTTGATGTTTTTTTCAGCAAGCCAAGATGGAGTATGAGTGGAAGCCTGATGAACAGGGGCTTCTACAGATCCTGCAGCTGCTCAAGGAATCGCAGTCTCCGGACACCACCACGCAGAGAGCCGTTCAACAAGTATCCTTGGTCAAGGCCTACACCGCGGGCGGGCGAAGCAGGCAGAGCGGGGCTGCGGCCGTCCGGGCGACTGCTAGGGAGGCTGGGGACTCTGGGTAGGGGGCAGCGCGGCCACAGACCAGTGCTGTGGTAGGCAGGTGGCGGCCGGGCCTTTCCGGCGAGCCGCCACAGCGAACTCTGTGGGCTGAGCCTCCGCTTGAGCGGGTGGCCGTGGCGCGGCATTTGAACCGCTAAGGCGGCCTATGGGGCCGCAGGGCCGCCTTCCCTCGCCGAGAGCCCGGACACCTGTTGCGAACCCCGAGCCAAGGTTCGGGTTTTGTTTTTGTTTTTGTTGGGGTTTTTGTTTTGTTTGTTTGTTTTGTTGTTGTTGTTTTTTTTTTTTTTTTTTTAATTTTTGAAGCCCTGGCTCCTTTGTGGCTGCTTTGGTATCTGCTGCCTTTCCAGATTACTCCATGCTGGGCCGCTGCCAGCACCTAGCCCTTATTCTCAGCATATCCCACCGAGAAGGCCGGAGCGGGGGGTGGGGGGGGGTCCTCTGCTCGCCAGGCAGAGTTGATGATGGGACGTGGGGTAGCTGTCGCCCCTACAGCAAAGCAGGGGTGAGCAGGGGCTTCCTAAACTAGTCCAGGGTTAGGATTCACGGCAAAAGCCAGAGCTGGTGGGAGGAGCGTTCCTGGTGGAGCCGACTGCACGCTCTCCATGACCTGCTGGCTCTGACCGTGTTTTGCTGTGTTGTGAGGATGTTTCTGCCTAGAATCCTGAGCCTGAAATACTGTTCGTTACACTTTTTACATCTTACAGGAAGAGTGAAATCTACCCTATGTGGCTTGTGCAGCTTTGCAGTGCATTTTGCATTAGTGTTGTGGATTCTTGGTTTGTTGTTTGGGTGTGGAGTTGTTTGTTCCCCCCTCAGGTCTCTCTTGACTGTAGAAGTGATGAAATCGCAAGGTTTTAAGGACCAAAGACTGAAAAAGGAAAATTTCACATTAAGTCTAGTAGAAGCATAAGTCTTGAAAAATAAAGCTCTCATCTACTGTCTCCTGTTCCTTAAGCTAACTATAGAGGTGCTTTAAAATATCTAGAAGTCCTGGAAGGATATCCTCCTATGAAGAATATGAGTTTAGCATCTTGATCTCTTTTTATTTAAGGCATTTGCTTGAAGGTCTTCACAAAAGGCAACAAAACATTTATGTAGGTAAGAATACGTATGTATGTTGTGTTAGGACTTTAGCTTGAAGCCAAATTTGCTTGACTTCTTGGCTTTTTCCTAGTAGATGTGGTCAAACCTTGGAAGGCTTCTGTTCTTACCTGAAAGGTGAAGGTCGATTTCACCTTGTTTTTGCAGCCGTGTTTCAGATTCCTAAGATGGTATTGAGTCCTATGAAAAATACTATACAGAAGTTGCTAAGCGTTCTTGTGGTAATCACATATTCTCTGAACAGAGAGAGACACAGCTCTCCCAGGATTTTCCTGAGAAGCTGTGAGAAAGACCAGAGAAAGAAATTAAAATAATTACTATCTCAATCTCTGCACCTGGCAGGCAATCTCTGTTTGTCAAAGATGTTTACAAGGAGGAGTTGTCCCTTTTTGACCAATAGGTGAGAGAAGCTTCCTAAAGGCCAATCAGGTCTTAGGTCCACCATTGTTTCTATAAGAACTGTGAATTTCTAATAAAAAGTGCCTTTTCATGCCTTCTGACGATGGAGTTTCTGTGTCACCTTTGTCTGTCCCCTATACTCCTTCGGTGATATGTTCTGATAATGCCCCAGATTTAAACAGGTGCTCTTTAGTATTTCAAATACAAAAGTGATTATAGCAGCAGTGATTATAATTTAGCTTTCATGTAAAATTGCATTTTAAAGGTCTGCTTCAAATAATGGCATCTGGCTATTGATCAGTGCAAGGCCCATCAATGTCAACATCCTTATGTATGGTCAGGGTTTAGCAACTTTGAATATTTAGAGCTTTAGCTGTACAGCAAGTAAAATAAATGCTTATGAAGCAAATAATCCTACTAGTTCTAGAAATAATTTTTTTGCTAAATGTCTTCATTGTTTGCCATACTGATGATATCTAGTATATTTGGTAACTACATGCTTATGACATAAAATATTGTTGAGCATACTAGTAATTAATACCAGGGTGTGAGAACAAGATACAAGGAGAATGCCAGAATGCTGTTCTAGGCAAGCAGTGGCAGAATACTTAGAAATTTGAGGCAAAAGTAATAACAAATTTTAGAAAAACAGCTACGTACGTACCTTCTAATTGTTCAGAAACATAATAATTCTTTTTGCAGTTGCCCCAGAGAACATACTTAAGAGGTTGATATTGCTAGTAAGATGCTTTTTCAGAGAGGTGTCTCTAGAAAATTGTTTTGTGTACAGCATTTTTTTTCAAAGAGACCATGGATAAACTTGAACTTCTTTGTACAAATATCTGGGCATTTACAATGAAACAGCTTCTCGCAGCTGAAAGCTCAGACTGGCTAGTTAGCATCATAAAAGTGTATATGACTAATATTAAAGTGACTAGCTTATAAAAATCATCATAGTTGTATTTTAATGCTGAAATGCTTTTATTTATTGTGGAGTAAAAAAATGATGTCTTATGTGATTGTGCCTCAGTGGATTCCTTAGGTTTTGTTGACTTTTAAGTGCAAATTTTGAAATCTAAAACTGTGCAGAGGAATGTAGGGGATTTGGGGAGGGCAGGAATTTCTGTGTTCCTGGATTCTTTTCTCAGATTTCAGCATAACTAAAGAGCTACTGCTTCAGTGTGAAAATTACAGAAATTTTTTTTAAAGTGTTCGTAGCCTGTATGTTGTGAGTTTATAGTCATAGCATTTTTAAATGATGCAGTAGTACATAGCTCACTTAATCATAGTATTCAGAAAGCTATAAATGCTGTGTGTGAAGATTTTAATTTCCTTAACAGTTTTTCTCTTCAGAAACTAGAACAACTCAATCAGTATCCAGATTTCAACAACTACCTGATTTTTGTTCTTACAAAGCTGAAGTCTGAAGGTAAGTTCTTGGGATATTGACTGGTTTATTCTATTTTTTTTTATTTTAAAAAAATTATTTTATTTAGCTTGAAAGAAAAAGGAAACTGATTTTTATACTCAGTGTGCTGGTGGGTTGATCTCCATAGTCATGTAGAAGAATTTTTTATCCTCTTGGGAATCTTTGTGGAAAAAGAACTGATAACATGGTGCTTGTAGTTTCAGTCTTGAAAGAGATACCATTCTAAAATTCCAATGAAATCTTAAAAAAAATGTGGGAGCATCTTACTTCTATCAGACTACAGTGAAACTGTGGAATAACTTTGCATGTCATGGTGATGAATCATGACTATACACATTATAAAACATGCTGCTAAATCCAGTTGTGATTGTGATCTCCCTAGTAATCAATCTATTAAATATGTAGAAGATTACTGTTGCAGCTGCTTGCTCAATCCCCATCTCCCCCCCACACTCATGGGAGGAGAATCAAAAGTAAAACTTATATGTTGAGATAAGAACAGTTTAATAATTGAAAATAAAGTAAAATACAGTAATAATGGTAAATTATAATAATAATGATAACAAAAAGGGAGAAACAAGTGATGCACAATGCAATTGCTCACCATCTGCTGACTGATGCCAGACCCCCCTTCCCGAACCCAGATCCGCCACCCTTCTGGGTAACTCCCACCAATTTATATACTGGGCATGACATTCTGTGGTGTGGAATATCCCTTTGGTCAGTTTGGGTTACCTGTCCCAGCTGTGCTCCCTCCCAGTTTCTTTTGTGAACCTCCTCACTTGCAGAACACGAGACAAGAAAAAATTCCTTGACTTAGGATAAACATGAGTTAGCAAAAAATGAAAACATCAGCATGTTATCAACACCATTCTCATTCTAAATCCAAAACACAGCACTGTAACAGCTACTGAGAATAAATTAACTCTGCCCTATCTGAAACCACATAATCACATCCTAGAGTTGTCCAAATATAATGTCTGTAGAATCTTCATTCTGAAGCCTTAATTCTAAAAATAATGTAGTTTCTTACTGTTGGCTTATTTTTATGGACATTTGTACAAACTGTTTATGGCATAGTGTAGCCTCTCCCAGTTGGAAAATTCAGGCAATTCCTTGGTAATGATCAGTAATGACTATCTACACTCAGGGCAGATCTTTTAATAACCTCCCTAGAAACTTTTTTCTTAACTCTAAACATGGTGTGGACTGCACTGAGGAGACCTGGCAGATGTAGCAGCAAGAACATGCTTTACTTAACATCCAAAGGGAATTCAGAATTCCCCAAAATTGATGTAACAGGCCTGAAGGAGGAAAAGGGGGTAAAGTCTGGGGAAAATCATCCTCCCCTGTTCCCTCCCGAGGATGGGTACAATTATTAATGGACTCCCAAAGGTAGCACCCAAGGCCAGGGCAGGAGAGCAACACTGAATACACATCCCAATTGATCTTCATTGCACTTGATGTTATCACGTCATAAACTGATATCCTACGGTACAGCAACAAAGCAATCCTGATCCCTCTCCCTGCTCTGAAAAAGAGCACCACAAGGAGCATATATGAGAACAGACACAGGATTCGGCACCACACCCACATAAACAGACCAAGCAACATTGTGATCAATGGCTCCACACCTAATACATCAAATGGTTAGATCAAATTAGTTTTCAACCTTCTCTTGTCAGATCTGTTGTTATCTCAAGCCTTTGTGCTGCACATTGGGCACCAAATAAAGCTGTCATGCCTTAGGAATGGTACTCTCCAATTTAGTGCTCCCACTGTGTCATGAATTGAATGAGTGTTTTAATATTGCTTAAAGAATCACTGGCAAAGGTATCAGTAAAAACAGGTTTAAAATAAAAGCAAAAGCACAACAACCTTCATTGGCAAGGTTCATTCTACTAACTAGATGATTAGGGCACACAGAGGAAAAGCAAACAAAAAAAAATCCAGTCAATCAATCCGAACTGAAATAAATCCAAAATTATCAGGGTGGAGTGGGGGACAGATGAAAGGATAAAAAGGGTAAGGATAAAAACTAATATGGCCTAAAGGGCCAACAGCACTTAACCTTAACAGTTCTTAAACTTATCAGTACTTATCCTAACTTAAACTTGACAGCACCTTGACAGCATTTAACTTAATTTATAACTTAAACAATTTAACAAAGGATTCATATAGGATTTACTGTAGCACAACAGTAACTTTCTTACAGGCATAATTTACAAATCCAAAGTACTTGAGAATCTCAGAGAGCAGTGTTTCCTCCGCATTTGCTATAGCATATGGACACAGATATAGAGTCTTGTCCTAGGTTGATAAGGAAGTGAGTTTTTTGGGAGGTTGTGGTCAAACCAATTAGTGCTCAGATTTGAATATTGGTACCTGATGTGGCCACTGAAGACATGGATATGCCTCTGAGAACACAGGGGGTTAAAAAGCAGAGAACTCTCAGGGGAACTCTCTCTTGGTTCCGGGTTGGTGAAAGAGGTCAGGCCTCCACAGCCCTGACACGGGTTGGGTGGGGGAGGGGAAGCCATGCGGCCGGAGTGAGGTAGGCCAGAGCCTTGGACAGAGAAGGGGTGTGAAGGCCCCTGCAGGATGGAAGGGTGGAGGAGCACTGAGAGGCATCGGGCAGCTCTCCTTCCCCCCCCCCCCCCCCCCCCGGGATAGAGAGAGAGGGAGAGAGCCTGTGCCTGTGCTTGTGCCACCTTGAAATTTGATATCTTGTGCTGGCAGCACTGCTGAAGGAGAAAGGGGAGGGGGGAGGGGCATGCTGCGAGAAGGTGCCCGGCTGCCATGGGAGTTCTGGGCAGGCAGAGCCTGATATTTTAACCCTTTTCTTGGATAGTGAAAACTTTACGAAACGCTACTCCTCCTTGATTTGAACGAGAAGAGAGACAGACATGAAATAGAAGGAAATGGGCAAGTGTCGTGAAGGTCTGAGCAAGTGAAGGATGTCAGAAGAAGATGGGGAAGAATCCTAGGTGGGAGGAGATGATGGAGTGGCCTTTGGCTGGACTTTTCTTGCATAGCCATAGACCGAACCAATTTCTTGTAACACAGAGACTACATTTAGGGGGAGGCATTGGCTTGAGCCAAGAGAGTGACCTGCTGTAGTGATTGCCAGTGCAGGAGAGTGACCTGCTACAGTGATGCCAAGTGCAGGAGTGGAGAGAACAGAGAAAGATGAGGAGGGTGTGCTGGTGCCCTCTGTCTTCAGGGAAGATCTCTGTTCTCAAGACCCTCGGCCCCAGGGGGAGTGAAAATGGGAGGGACCTTTGTCCCAAAAGTGAGAAACTGTTGCTTTTTTGGTACTTGGCAAAGCAACCTTAAAGGGAACCCTATAAGCAGTTTTGGTCCATGAATGGTGGTGAGAGCACTGTACATGGAAGGAAGGAAGGAAGACGTCATGATGTCAGATGTTCTCTGGGTGGTGCCATGTGTGACATGGAAACACAAGAGGTTTCAACTGTGTTTCCTGGAGAAGCCTATAGTACAAGAGGGACTCCTCTCTCCTTGATGAACTGAGAGTTGATTATCTGAGGGATGGTAACTTGACTGAGAATCTAAGATTTTGTCTCACTGTGCTTGGGTGGAAACTGGGGGGGGGGAGGAGGAATGTTTCGGAAGTTTTTTCATTCTGAATTTTGTGTGTGTTCCTTTTATTATAGTTGTAGGTTAATAAAGTATTTTTTTCTTTATTTCTAAGTTTGAGCCTGCTCTGCTCTATTCCTGGTCACATCTCACAGCAGCTGTTAAGGAGAATATATTTTCATGGGGGTACTGGCATTGCACCAGCATCAAACCATGACAAGTCTGTACAAGGTGTCTGTGAAAAATTCCTCTCAAAGGTAGTGAAACATTCACTTCAGATGCCTTTGCATCTTCTCAATGGTAAAGGGTCAAGCCTTGAGGAGTGAGGGGTATCAGCCTGTCACTATCGAGTAAGAAAGAGGCACGGACTCCAAGCAGGCTGGTTTGCACAACAACAGCTTTAATGCGAAAAACTCTTCTCTTTTATAGACAGTTCAGATACATTCCACTTGATTGGCTAATTAGCAAAAGCATTTTTCTCCCAAACAATCCTTGATGAGAACAGAAAAACAGAGAATAGGAAAACACCTGCAGGTTGTTTATAACAAGTTATCATCCTTTCTCTACAACTCCCTAAAAGTCTCACAAGTCCGCTGTGAGAAAACTTATCTCGTTTTCTTGCTCTCTGACCAGGCTGTCACATCCACATCAGCCCAGGATTTAATGTTGTTTGGCAATCCTCCGAGAATAGCAAGCAAGAGTTCGCTGTGTCTCAGAGGACTCACTCAGGGAGGTTGCTGGTTGCAGCTGCTGTGGGCCAAGAGAGCTCAAAGGGTCTTATTTTGGACTGCTGTTTATAGGGTTGCAAGAGAGGGCTTTGGCCATAATTTTTCATCCTGGCCACACTTCAGGTCCTGCCATTGGGACACAACAACCCCCTGCAGCACTACAGGCTTGGGAAGAGTGGCTGGAAAGTGGCCTTGTGGAAAAGGACCTGGAGGTGCTGATTGACAGTGGCTGAACTTGAGCCAGCAGTGTGCCCAGGTGGCCAAGAAAGTAAATTGAATCCTTGCTTGTATCAGAAGTAGTGTGGCCAGCAGGACCGGGGCAGTGATTGTTCCCCTTTACTTGGCACTGGTGAGGCTGCACCTCGAGTACTGTGTTCAGTTTTGGGCCCCTCACAACAAGAAAGACATTGAGGTTCTGGAGCATGTCCAGAGAAGGGCAATGGAGCAGGGGAAGGGTCTGGAGCACAAGTCTGATGAGGAGCAGCTGAGGGAACTCAGGGGGCTCAGCCTGGGGAAAAGGATGCTCAGGAGAGACGTTATCACTCTCTACAGCTACCTGAAAGGAAGTTGAAGCCAGGTGGGGATTGGCCTCTTCTCCCAGTTAACATGTGACTGGAGAAGAAGAAATAGCCTCAAGTTGCACCAGGGGAGGTTTAGGTTGGGTATTAGGGAAAATTTCTGCTATGAAAGGGTTGTCAAGCCCTGACATAGGCTTCCCAAGACAGTGATGGAGTCACCATCCTTGGAGGGATTTGAAAGCTCTGTGGATGTGGCACTTGAAAACATGGTTTGGTGGTGGACTTGGCAGTACTGGGTTAATGGTTAGACTTGATGATTTTAAAGGTCCTTTCCATCCTAAATGATTCTGTGATTCTGTGTCTAACTGTGGCTGCTAAAAATAATGCTTTCATTGTGGCTTGCAAGGGCTGTAAATAGTGTGTAAATGAAAGGAAAATGCCTTTGGCTTACTTCCTGGCCAGACGCAACATTAATTCTGAATAACTGCTTATGGAGGACTGGATTACTTGGATATGAGCATACCTATCAGTGGATTATAAATATGCAAGGAAATAGTAATTTGACATATTAAATTAGTGTAATAATAATTGGAGAGATTTTACCTTGAATTCAGAGAGCATTTCAGGTGAACCTGAGACTGATCAAGAGTTCAAGTAAGAATGTCCTCCTTTAGGATATTCTCCACCTGACCTTTGTTATTGACGTCTTCAAAATTTTAAGCAAAATGATAAAATTACTTTATTTGACTTCCTAAGTAATAATAATAATGATAATAATACTTGTCACATCTCATAACCACATTCTGTAGTTGACAGAGGTATGTCTGCTCATCTAGTTTTTGCTTTTTTTATTTAAAATTGTAAATCTGTTCTCCTAGTAAAGTTTTTGGCCCTTGAAATGCAGTGCCCTGCAAGAACTTTTATTTTTACATTGTTTAGAAGTTGGTAGGTATTTAAAACCTGTAGTATAGGCAAAGTTATGGAAGTCTTAAATATATATGCATTGGGTGGATTCCTAGTTTATGAAGTTACTGAATTCTATGTAAGAGCGATGCTTGTAAATCAATATTTATAGTTACAGAGAATGAAAATTAGTGCTTCTTTAGGAAGTGTCTTGGTTTGAAAAGACAGGTGTCTGCTAAGGAAGGCAGGAGCCTTCCTTGAAATGGAAAATGTAAACCTCCTCCCTCGGAATTATTGTGATTTTGAAATTAAGGGGCTTTCAGGCAAAGATATGGGAATAGGAATAACAGTTCTTTACTAGGAAAATTAAAACCGCAAATGCAATAGTACAAACAAGAAAACAAACCACTGACAGAGTCAGAATACAACCTGACACCCTGTGGATCAGGGTGTTGGTAGCAGTCCAATTAAATGGTGGCTGTAGTCCTCCTGAAGTGACAAATGTGGTTCTGTTGAAGCAGTGATCCTGTAGGAGGGTGTAGTTTTTCTCTGAAGGTTCAGTGGTGCTGTAGATGGGCTTGGTCTTCCTCTGGAAATCCAGTAGAGAAGAAAGCTGCTTCTCTGGGGAATCCAGTGGGAAAAGGCTCCCTGTGGTGTTCCAAGTCTCTGATTACATCCAGATAGGAATGCTTGGCTCCTCCCTCTGGGCAGAGTTTCTTCCAATGGGATGATGTAATTTTATCAGTCATGCAGTGACACTCAGTGGCCCATTAACCGAAGATATCTCTCCAGAGGGAGGATTGGTTGTGGAAGAGATCAAGAAACTGCCCAATTAGGAGAAGATAACTGCCCCACCTCTAACAGATAGGAATAGAAGACACACCCCCATTTCCAACCTAAGACAGGAAGACTGAAATATATTTTTAAATCTTGTTCTAATACTCGTATACAGCATTCTGGTTTTAGAACTCATAATCAGTTGATTAAAATTAATTTTAACAATAACCCCTCTTTTTAAAAGTGCCATTTTTGTTCAACTAGCAACGGTTGCGCTCAAAAGTATTTTTAATGGCCCTCAGTCAGTCATCATGGGTATGATAAGAGTCCTTGTGTTATGATGCACTAACTTGATTTTAAAATATTTTATATTTGAAAGTTATATCTCTTATTTTTCTTATATTTCTTTGGAGATGTTAATAGTTTTGAAGGCCTATAATAGATCTGTGTGTAAATTGTAACTCGGTGCAAATGAACTTTAAACATCCTTACTTTTTGCCAAAATCAGGGCTTCTCTTCTGGTTTGGGCTGAGGTAGAGTTAATTTTTTTCACAGTGGCCGATATGGGACTGTGTTTTAGATTTGTACTGGAAACGATGATAACACAGGGATGTTTTAGTTACTGCTGAGCGGGGCTTACACAGAGCCAAGGCCTTTTCTGCTTCTCACGCCAACCCACCAGTGGGTAGGCTGGGGGTGCACAACTGACCAAAAGCTAAAATGCTGATTAAAATTATCTGTATAGGCTGATTTGGATTGTTGTAAACTTTAAATTTAAATTTTCTTTTATTCTAAACTAATCCTTTCTATGTAGAACATCCACATCTCACTTTCAGCATGCTTCAGAAATAATACCAAGTTACTTATGCCCTTGGTTGAAGAACTAAACATGAATCTGCTCACAAGTGAACTCTAAAACTAAAAAACTTTGCTATATAAATTGATGGTTGTATTTCGAAGGAGGGATAAGGAAATAAAGATTAATATTTATCACTGTAAGCTTTGATCTTGTTGCATTGTTCTGCAAATCTACTTTATCCTAAGAACTGATGGAAGTTAGAAACACAATTATTTTCTCTTGCAGATGAGCCAACACGTTCCTTGAGTGGTCTCATCTTGAAGAATAATGTAAAAGCACATTTTCACAACTTTCCAAATGGAGTAACTGACTTCATTAAAAGTGAATGTTTGAACAATATTGGTGATTCCTCCCCCTTAATTAGAGCTACTGTAGGTAAGTTTACTCTTATTACTGTATTCTGCACACTGAAAATGTTACTGATATAAGTGAGAGCTGTGCTAGTGAGAGTTATTAAACTCCTAAAACTATTTGCTTCTGATAATTGTCACAACTACATCATGATTTGATTTTGATATTAATCTTCAGTGTGGATATACAAATATATTTTTCTTTCCTATTTTCTTAAAACTGAATTAGCAATTCTGTTCATATCTCTTGAAATGTGACTGAACATAAGTTTACTTGAATCTGCTAAAATTCAGCTTGCTGCCAATTTTTATACCAAAATCAGGAGTAAGGTAAAGGTTCTGAGTTCAGAACTATTTCAGCACTCCACTTGCATTCGTAAAACACTTCTGTTTGTGCATTTCCTCTTTGCTTCCCCATATGCACACCTCTTCGGGGTATCATTACACCAGATGTTACATACATTAACATAATGAGTTTATGTTTTTTAGATAGCTTCTATCAGAAAACAGTAGATAATGTGTAGTGATCAGAACACCAGCTACAAGTGATTTTGTTGTATGGTTGTTTTTTTTTTATTTCCTAAATCCTTTGGTTTAGTACACCTCTTCCATAACATGAATATTTGGTATTTTTACTTATTTTTAGGTAATGTTGGTTTTCTGTCTGCTCTTTGAGAATATGATTTCCCCCAATTATTGCAATTGTAATTTTCCTTGTCCACTCCAAAAACTAGAAAAAAATCTGAAATTAATGTATATTTAAGTACAGTAGAGTAAAACAGGGATTGGATGCAAGTTCAGAAAGGCATTCAGCCTGTGTCAGCTGATTTCTGTTATAAAATAATGTCATAGTTTCACCCCTAAGTAACTAAGTACCACACAGATGCCTGCTCACTCCCCCATCTGTCCCCCTAGTGGGGAGGAGAATCAGGTTGAGATAAGAACAATTTTATAATTGAAACAAAATAATAATTTCAATAATAAAATTATACAAATAATATTACTAATAATTGTCACAAGAAGAACATAGAGTTACAGAAGCCAAGAGAAACAAGTGATGCACAATACAGTTGCTCACCACCCACTGATGCCCAGCACATCCCTGAGCAGCATTTGGCCCCTCATAGCCAACTCCCCCCAGTTTATATACTGGACATGATGTTCTATGGTGTGAAATATCCCCTTAGCCAGTTTGAAATAAACAGGGCCAGGAGACTTCTTCTCCTTTTAATGCCTTTATTAAAAGTGATCAGCTCAGGATTGGGCAGCTCGACGGGGCTGCAGTCTCCCGTCGTCTCTCCCAGGGCGACTCAGAGGAGGAGGATATGCGCAGCTCTGTCCACTAGGGGCAGAGTTGGGGATCATGTCCTCGTGGGAGCCTTTAGGGCGTGGTGATCCCATCCGATGTTACTTTTCCGGCGCCGTCTCCCTCAGTCTCGGCGCTGGGGACGACTCCCATTGTCAGGGCGAGAGGGACTCCAAAGGTGTTCCGCATCTCTGCAGGCTCAGCACTCGGCTCCTCATGTCCAGACATCACTCCAGTCTCTCAACTCTTATGTGACTCGTTGTTTTTGGGGTTTTCTCCGTGCATTTGGAGCCGTAGTCCCCCAGAGCCTGCTGGTCCTGGAGTCACTTTGCATAACCCCCCCCCCCCCCCCCCCCAGGTCTCTTACCCTCACTGTTCGGGAAGGTCTCCACCCGTTACTGTCTCGGAGAAGGGCCATTACCTTGCCCCAGCCAGGGCTTTTACTAATACAAAAACAACCATTAACAACAACGACCCGTAATTACCATAATACAGGCAGCAGCCCAGCAGTAGTGGTAACTTTTTTCTCACAGAAAAAAATCAACTGAATTTTTGTTCATAACAAGTTCAGATTGTTATAATCATCAACAAGAAAGCCAAATCAATAAATGCAAAAGATTTCATTTTTGCAACCAAAATATGGTCCTCAAAAACCACAGCCAAAGAGACAGCGTTGAGCCCGGGATCGGTGCTGGGTGAACCTATATCCAACCTCTATCGCATCGGATATCCCTCTCTTCATGAATGCCATTTCCAGCAGGGCTGCTTTATACAGCTTTTTATGCCTGAGGCAGAGGTGCCCCGAGTTCTTTTGTAACCCCACATATGTATGAAGGTTTCTTTCACTGTGCAGGGATGGACAATTGCTGTTTCCTGGGTAGTGGCAGGCGCTGATCATGTCAGGGCAAGTTGTGTATTCAGATGTATGTTCCTTGGTGACTTCGGTTATCTTGATTGATGATATCTACCAAGTGATGATCGTCCTAGGGTGTTCCCTGATGGCTCGGGAGGAAGCCCATCTCCATGCTGGCCACCTTCTTTTATTAGTTAACGAGGCATTGTTCTCCTGCTGCCACCAGGAGTTTTGTAATTCCAATGTGGTAATCTGTCTCCCGGTTGCTCGTGGTCAGAGGCTTGTTGGATGTTTGATTCCGATTACAATTTTTATTTCATACATTTTCCCCTTAAGCATGAATTACTTTATATTATATATTGTAAGATCCACTGTCCCAGCTATGCTTCCTCCTTGTTTCTTTTGTGCAGCTCCTCACTGGCAGAGCATGAGACACTGAAAAGCCCTTGTCTCAGGGTAAGCACTGCTCAGCAACAAACAAAATATCAGTGTGTTATCAGTATTATTCTCATACTGAATACAAAACAGAGGAATGTACCAGCTACTGAGAAGAAAATGAGCTCTCCCAGCAGAAACCAGAACATTTTCCTCCTCTAATTCCATACCATTGACATCATGCCAGGTCACAGTTCCCAGTTCCCCATCACCTGTCTTTTGATAGATATACACACACATATACTCCCTTAGTCTATGGACTATGGACCCTGTAAGGCTGTTGAGTTAATTCACTCCAAGTGCCAGGTCCTGCAACTCCATGCAGTGCTACAGGCTTGGAGCAGGGTGGCTGTTTTGTGGCAAAGTAGGACAGTTTCAGACAAAGTTTATTAGAGAAGTGTGGAGAGTTTAGTACAGGCATGGCTTAAAGGAAAAGGCCATGAAGACATACAATTGAGAGAAAAGTAAAAGGTAAAAGTAAAGCAGTTCCTAAAGCAGTTCCCAGGCTTAATTTTATAAATAATAAGGTTCTCAGACAGTCTTCCCATAACAAGCAAAGCACTCTGTCTGGGAAAAGCTGGCTCCTTGGGAACAGATATGGAAGTTTTGGGAAACTCTCATATCACAGTGAGAACGTTGGTTCTGTTTTTAATAAACAATTGTAGGTATTGTAAAACAAAAGGAGTGGTTAGAGTTTTCTCTGTTAACCTATCGTGAGCTCAGATTTTGCAATATGCATGAGGTTAATTAACACTGTTATATAAAGTGGCTGATTGATCAATAAATCGGAGTTCGATGCATCAATCGGATGGTCCTTCTCCCTTCACTTCAATAGAGAAGCCCTCTGGTTGAGTCACAAGATGCAGAAAAGACCGCCTTGCTTTCTAAAACTCCTCAGAGAGAGGAGCCTAGGTGCAGCTGAATCCAGTCTTAGCCCCAGACTTGGTTAACAGTTTACAATCTAAAGGATTATATAGGTGTAAATGAACCCTTATAGAACTTTATTCTGCAGGATTAAGGCTGACAAACCAGATGTATTTATATAAATATATATATGACTTATTATGATAATGATTAGACAAAAATATCTTAATCAGAATTATTTACTGCACAGTATAGGAGTTATAACGTCTAGTGTAGTATAGTGTACTATTTTGAAGCAATAGTAAAGCTAGTTAAAACAGTTAAGTAGAGATTGATGTTACTCACTCATACCAATGATCGTGAGCAAATCTCTTCTACTTGGCCTCGAGGAGTAACCTTGAGAGGTGTCCCCATTTAAGGGAGGAATCTCCACAGATACACGTCAAGGAGATGTATGTTAAAAGACCCTGACATTAAAATTTGGGACTGGACTTTTATAGTATACAGTGATTGACTGTCAGTCATATGTCTCCAGACCAGCTTTGTCAGCTCAGCAGCTTTAGATAAATTATCAGGAGTATAATTTGTTCCTTTATCCCGGTATTTTACCAGGTCTACCACATCTTCATCTCACTATCAGGGTGTTAAACTTTGGGATTGATGAGTCACACTGGTTTCAGCATTGTTCAACACCAAAAGCAGCAGGACTCCCCCTTCTTCATTTATCTCTGATAACTTTGCAAATAGGACATTGTTCAAGTTGTTTTCCCCATTCCAGGCAGAGCATCCTGCTACACTCTACCATGTGACTTCAGTCAATTGTTATCTCATTAAATAGTGATGCAGGTATCTCTTGCTTTCATGCTATAAAAGCATCCACTGCATATGTGTACATTATCCTTAAACATGTTGAGGTACATCAATCTCCTAAGGTTTGCTATTTTAACTCATGTGGTTTGATAGTATTAGCTATTTTATAATTATACATTACATGTTTACACACAAAGTTATTATCAAAATCAGTTAGAATTTTGCCTGAAATATTCAGAAATATTAAACAGAGCATAATACAGAGTTAGCTATCAATTTTGGCAAAAGAAACACTTATTATTTCAATTTATATACTTCTGGAAGGGTTAGTATCCTTATTTGTTGGATTAGGTACCACACCTATTGTAGTGGTTTCGGTTTGCCAACTTACGATTTCCCTAATTTTAAGATTTTCTGGTTAACGCATTAAAGAGTGTGGTAGGTTTTGGTGCTGGTCAATTACCAATGTACTTACTTCCTGTTGTGAGATAGGATTAGGAGAATACAAACTAGGTTCAAAATTTTAAGAGGGTATAATAAAAATTTTATTAATAGTAACTAAAAGAAAAAAAAGTAATAAGAATCAAAGCAAACCCTTCAGAACACTTTTCCCTACAACTTTTTCTTTTCCATTGTCAATGTAAAGAAACAAAACTTAAAATTTCTAGTCAGTTTACTACCTCTAAAATAATCTTTCTTCAGTTTACTTAGGGAGAGAAGTTCTTCTTGTTAATGTTATAGAGACTTCTCCACAAGA